TGGTGCGTGTCCCTCCGGGGGAGATATTTTATCTTTATTGTATGTTCCGGTTCCGCACTCCTCGGGATTTCTGAGGTTTGGGTCACTTCGGTTTCCCGGCTCCCCGAGACCCCCCATTTCTCTCACCTGCAAATCACATGTAGAGTACTGTCACTGGCCGGTCATATATGTAGAGTACTGTCACTGACCGGTCATATATGTAGAGTACTGTCACTGGCCGGTCATATATGTATAGTACTGTCACTGGCCGGTCATATATGTAATGTACTGTCACTGGCCGGTCATATATGTAATGTACTGTCACTGTATATGTACACGCAGCATGAGGATCAGCAGCCCCTTGTATCATTTATTCACAATGACACTTATAGCAATGTTAGGGACCCCGCCCCCCCCCGGGTAAATCACGCATGTTAGTGTGGGGGAGGGGAGGGGTTTCAGTTTTGGGGTCTCCTCTACAATTAGTCAGATTTGTATGATGAAGTTGGCACAGACGGCGGTTGGGAAAGTTGTCTCTGTACTGTACATTACATAATGTCCTCCCCCCCCGCGCGTGTTTGTGTGTTATCCTGCGTGTAGTGACAGTATGTCCTCACGTGTACCAGGTGCCTCACCCGTGTCACATGACCCGGTTCCTCCAGGAATGATGTCACCCTCCGCTTGTTATGAAGTATCAATGGATGTGTCATCTCCTCCTCGTGTGGCCCCCGGCACACACAAGGGCCCAGAAGGAAGTGCCCCGCGCCTCACCCTTCCCTCCTTCTGTCTTTCAGCTCAGAGAAGACTCTTCGAAGTTTTAAAGCGAAGAAAGCCGCCAATCCGCCCCAAATCATGGATGTACAAGGTGAGCCCTCCATCATCATTGTGGGAGGGGCAGAGACACAAACTACTGACCATTGTGGGAGGGGCAGAGACACAAACTACTGGGGGGATCTCACCATTGTGGGAGGGGCAGAGACACTACTGGAGGAAATCTCACCATTGTGGGAGTGGCAGAGACACAAACTACTGGGGGAAATCTCACCATTGTGGGAGGGGGAGAGACACAAACTACTGGGGGGAATCTCACCATTGTGGGAGGGGCAGAGACACTACTGGGGGGAATCTCACCATTGTGGGAGGGGCAGAGACACAACTACTGGAGGAAATCTCACCATTGTGGGAGGGGCAGAGACACAAACTACTGGGGGGAAATCTGACCATTGTGGGAGGGGCAGAGACACAAACTACTGACCATTGTGGGAGGGGCAGAGACACAAACTACTGACCATTGTGGGAGGGCAGAGACAGAAACTACTGAGCATTGTGGGCGGGGCAGAGACATGTAGCTGATTTGTTTTTTCTCCTGTACAGATGTTTGCAAACAGAGGCCCCGACGGCCCCGACTCGCCCTCAAATCTGGATGTCATCATGTCGCCCTCGTCTGTATCGCCCTTTTCTCAGTCACCCGCCTCCCATCGAGGGGAAGGTGAGAACTCCATGAAGTGTCTGATCAATGACCAGGACCTGCACCTGTCGGAGCGTCTGGGGGACGGCTGCTTCGGGGTGGTCCGCAGAGGGGAGTGGAGGATTCCCGGTGGAAGGACAGTAAGTAGCCCCTCCCCTTTTATCTCTTCCCGTTCCCTGAGCCGCCTCCCATGTTCTGTCCCTGTGCAGGAGTCTCATTCACCTGCTTTGTGTTTCCAGGTGAATGTTGCGGTGAAAACTCTGCGTACCGACTCCGCCTCCAACCCCGACATCCTCCAGGATTTTCTACAGGAAGTGAATTCCATGTACGTCCTGGACCACCCGCATCTCATCCGACTCTATGGGGTAGTTCTGACCCAGCCAATGAAAATGGTGAGTGATTGGTTCTCCTCAACGGGGTCACTTCATCCACACCAGGCTAACCCAAAAGGGGCCCCTGAGTCTTGTCCTTCCTCCACCAGGGTGACACAAAAAGGGCCCCTGAGTCTTGTCCTCTTCCACCAGGGTGACACAAAAGGGGCCCCTGAGTCTTGTCCTCTTCCACCAGGGTGACACAAAAGGGGCCCCGGAGTCTGGTATGGGGGTGCGGTGTGTGTATCTGGATAATGACCTCCTCTTGTCTTTCCCTCTCAGGTCACAGAGTTGGCCCCTCTCGGATCTCTACATGACGCTTTGCGCTCTCGCTATGGCGCATACCCTCTGCAGCTCCTGTGGTCATACTCCATCCAGATCGCCTCCGGGATGAGCTACCTGGAGAGCCACAAATTCATCCACCGGGACTTGGCCACGCGGAATGTACTGCTGATGAGCGAAGAAATGGTGAAGATCGGAGATTTTGGGCTGACGAGGGCGCTGAGGGCGAACGATGAACAGTACATCATGTCTGCTCACCGCAGGATTCCCTTTGCATGGTGAGGATGACCGCGGGCACATTGTTGGGTGGTGATGGGTTGGTCCTCGGGTGGGAAGGAATGTGGGCTGATAACTGGCAGTCACTAATCATCTGGATTCTTTGTGCCAGGTGCTCACCAGAAAGCTTGAAGATTGGGACCTTCTCACACCCATCAGACGTCTGGATGTTCGGGGTCACCATGTGGGAGATGTTCACCTATGGACAGGAGCCCTGGTTGGGCCTGGCTGGGAGACAGGTAATGGATCAATCCTGCAGAGTGTCACCATGCGTCAGCCTTACAGGGCCGAACATTGTATAACTGTCTTCTTGTCTGCAGATCTTACAGAAGATTGACCGCGAGGGGGAGAGACTGGAATGTCCAGATGATTGCCCCCCGGCTTTGTACAACATCATAATGAAGTGCTGGGCGCACAAACCGGACCAGAGGCCAAACTTCAGTGCTCTCATCAGCCTTCTGCAAGAGGTGAGTGCAAATCTGTATCCAATATCGCCCTTACTGCCCCCCTACGGTGTACTCCAAAGATGAGTCTCCCATACACTCCATGGCCAATAGTATGTGGACCCCCCCCTCCAAACTATTGAGTTCAGGGGTCTCCAGTGAAGGGTTCTGGTGATCCTCCATCATACAGAGACATTGTAGACAATTGAGATCTCCCAGCCTTGTGGTCACAGTTTGGTGAAGACCCTTTTCTGTTCCACCATGACTGTCCCCTGTGTACAAAGCCAGCTCCATAAAGACATGGTGTGACCAGTTTGTGAAGACCACTCAAGTTCCACCACACCAGAGCCCTGACCTCATCCCTGTGGAACTTAGGAACACCTTATGGAACATAGGTCTTCCTAAAGTATTATTGAGTTGAGCCAGCTCCATACAGACACGGTGTGACCAGCTTGGTGAAGGAACTAAAAAGGGGCCCCTGAGTCTTGTCCTCTTCCACCAGGGTGACACAAACGGGGCCCGGGAGTCTGTCCTTCCTCCACCATGGTGACACAAAAGGGGCCCCTGCGTCTTGTCCTCTTCCACCAGGGTGACACAAAAGGGGCCCCTGAGTCTGTCCTTCCTCCACCAGGGTGACACAAAAGGGGCCGCTGAGTCTGTCCTTTCTCCACCAGGGTGACACAAAAGGGGCCCCTGAGTCTTGTCCTCTTCCACCAGGGTGACACAAAAGGGGCCCCGGAGTCTGGTATGGGGGTGCGGTGTGTGTATCTGGATAATGACCTCCTCTTGTCTTTCCCTCTCAGGTCACAGAGTTGGCCCCTCTCGGATCTCTACATGACGCTTTGCGCTCTCGCTATGGCGCATACCCTCTGCAGCTCCTGTGGTCATACTCCATCCAGATCGCCTCCGGGATGAGCTACCTGGAGAGCCACAAATTCATCCACCGGGACTTGGCCACGCGGAATGTACTGCTGATGAGCGAAGAAATGGTGAAGATCGGAGATTTTGGGCTGACGAGGGCGCTGAGGGCGAACGATGAACAGTACATCATGTCTGCTCACCGCAGGATTCCCTTTGCATGGTGAGGATGACCGCGGGCACATTGTTGGGTGGTGATGGGTTGGTCCTCGGGTGGGAAGGAATGTGGGCTGATAACTGGCAGTCACTAATCATCTGGATTCTTTGTGCCAGGTGCTCACCAGAAAGCTTGAAGATTGGGACCTTCTCACACCCATCAGACGTCTGGATGTTCGGGGTCACCATGTGGGAGATGTTCACCTATGGACAGGAGCCCTGGTTGGGCCTGGCTGGGAGACAGGTAATGGATCAATCCTGCAGAGTGTCACCATGCGTCAGCCTTACAGGGCCGAACATTGTATAACTGTCTTCTTGTCTGCAGATCTTACAGAAGATTGACCGCGAGGGGGAGAGACTGGAATGTCCAGATGATTGCCCCCCGGCTTTGTACAACATCATAATGAAGTGCTGGGCGCACAAACCGGACCAGAGGCCAAACTTCAGTGCTCTCATCAGCCTTCTGCAAGAGGTGAGTGCAAATCTGTATCCAATATCGCCCTTACTGCCCCCCTACGGTGTACTCCAAAGATGAGTCTCCCATACACTCCATGGCCAATAGTATGTGGACCCCCCCCTCCAAACTATTGAGTTCAGGGGTCTCCAGTGAAGGGTTCTGGTGATCCTCCATCATACAGAGACATTGTAGACAATTGAGATCTCCCAGCCTTGTGGTCACAGTTTGGTGAAGACCCTTTTCTGTTCCACCATGACTGTCCCCTGTGTACAAAGCCAGCTCCATAAAGACATGGTGTGACCAGTTTGTGAAGACCACTCAAGTTCCACCACACCAGAGCCCTGACCTCATCCCTGTGGAACTTAGGAACACCTTATGGAACATAGGTCTTCCTAAAGTATTATTGAGTTGAGCCAGCTCCATACAGACACGGTGTGACCAGCTTGGTGAAGGAACTCGAGTGTTCTGCACAGAGTCCCGACCTCATCCCTACTGACCACCTTTGGGACAAATTGGATTGTGAGCCCGGTCTTCTCCTCCAACTTCAGTACCTGACCTCACCTGAAATGTCCTGACCTGACATGGTTTATAACCTATAATCTCTTATCCCTCCACTGTGCCCATCTCTATGGTCCTATAATCTCATATCCCTCCACTGTGCCCATCTGTATGGTCCTATCATATCCCTCCACTGTGCCCATCTCTATGGTCCTATAATCTCATATCCCTCCACTGTGCCCATCTCTATGGTCCTATAATCTCAGATCCCTCCACTGTGCCGATCTCTTATAACATCTCTTCATAGTTCATCATCTGACAGACAACGTATTCCTTCTTCAGGTGAAACCACTAGAGGTTCGGATTCTTCAGGAGGTGAACAATCCCTCTTGGCTGCCTCTGGAGGCTGGGGACCTTGTCACCGTCATTGATGCTGGGTAAGTGACATTTTCATGCCATTGGTCACTTATATCCTACCAAAAGTTCATTATGGGTAATCCAACGTTCCGGAAGTCATGATACGTCTTTGTGACCATTCACTATTCACCCGTCATTCACCGCGTGTTACGCATAATTCTGTGGAGGTCATGGGGGCAGCAAGCTCATAGACCCAGACCTCTATTACCCTGGTCATATATTCCGGCGTGTCATGACAGATTCCAGGCGGTCTCCAGACAAGTTGGCCAATAAAATCCCACCAGCTTTATTTGGGGGTGCGACTTGGGGCCTTCAGCCAGTCCAGTATACCTGGAGGTGGGAGGCTGCCAGGGGGCATCTGTATCGAATACCCGGGCTTAGCATTGGAAGCTGAATGAGACAAAGTGGTTTACTGTAAGACTCTTTCATCTACTTGGTGACCATAGCTCATGGACATGGCTTTGATTTTCATCCTCTAGGTCAGACTCTCAGCCCTGGAGAGGACAGAATCAGCAAACTCTTAGGATTGGACCATTCCCTGCTGCTGTCATTTCTCCGGAGGACTTGGCACGCGGCCGTAGCTCTTCACACTTGGCGGGCAATCTAGGAAAGACCTCTTTTGCTGATGCAGAGAATGAGTAAGTGCCTCACCGCCTCGTGAACACGTAGATTATAGCACATATGGCCTCCCACCACATACTCATGAGTCCTTGTTTCTTTCAGCAAGAGAATCCGAGCAAAAGAAGGTCAACGGAGGAGGGGAGGAGGAGCTGGCGTTGGTCGCATCAGAGCAGAAGAAATGATGATTCGTATGCAACGTAAGTGTCTCCTGGTGGCAAACGTAACCCACATCCTTTCCCTCTCCTATCCTTTCCCTCTCCTATCCTTTCCCTCTCCTATCCTTTCCCTCGCCTATCCTTCCCCTCTCCTATCCTTCCCCTCTCCTATCCTTCCCCTCTCCTATCCTTCCCATCCTTCATTGCTTCCTTCCATCTTCCTATTCTTATTTCCCCCAATTTCCCAGTCTCTCCTCATTCCTCTCCACTCACCTTCTCTGATTTCACCCCCCAGGTCTCTCTAGAAGTTTGGAGTCCCTATCTAACTTTGACAACAATCCTCAAAGCCACCCCACACCCAGGCAACGTGGGCGGGATCTGGAGAGCATAGCATCGCCACCCCGTGAGCCCTCCCCGAGAAGAATGAGTGACCTTCCCCCACGACGTTTGCTGGCCAACCTCCGCCCCATACCTTCTCCCAAGCCCAAGGTGTCGGCCCTTAAGGATCGGTTCCTGGCTCCTCCCACACCGGATCACCCCGGGCAGCAGATGAACCGCAAATTTCCAACTTCTCCAGTCCCGGTTCCAGCAGAAACGCACCCGGTCCCTCGCGTGACACCAGAAAGTAAATCTGCGGGGTACAGAGCCGTCACTGCGGACAGTGAGCTGCAAAAGAAAATTAAAGAGGTAAGAAGACTGAGAGGTGTGTGTGTGTTGGTGACCCATGGTGGTCCGAACTCCTCAGCATTCCCCTCCATCACTCCTGTGGGCCCCTAGCTGTTCTCTGATTGGCATGGGCAGAGGCCCCCTGTATACTTTTGCCCAAGTCCAAAGTAATGACGGGAGGAGGCCCAGAGTGGGATGTACTGCTTATGGAGGCCTTCAAATGGAGATTGTGGGGACAGATCTACTTGCTTGCCCCTCACCCAATGCCCCGAGGGGTTGTTTCTGACTTGATGGCCCCATCGCGTTCACACCGAATGTCTCTGAGTATTAATCTTGTGTTCTGTGTGCAGGTGGAGGAGCGCGTACATGGAGTAACCACCGAAGAGAGCCGGGAGGCGCTGCGCACCTATGGAGGGGACGTGACGCGGGCTGTGCAGGCTTTAAAGGTGCGCATATTTTGGAGCAAAATCTGTAACTGAATGTAGATGGGGTGTGGGGGATGGGGGTTGGGTAGGGTCAGCTTTAATATAAAGACCTGGGACAGGAAGTACAAGAGCTAACCATGCTCATACTATTCTTTAGCCCTTCCCTTCTGGAAACCTCACAGTGCAGCCATAGAGCGGGAGATTGCTTCTCACTTCCTGTTTGGTCCCCTGAACAGGAAGTAAAGGAAATCTTTCCAACAGGGACACAGAATGCATTTATTTTTGCTCTTGGTGTCTTGGGTTGGGCTGACCCTCTGCGAAATCAATGTGGCTTCTGGAACAGTTTGTATCTTATCCTTGAGATATACTAGAGAAGGAGAAGAGGACGATAGGTCCAGCAGCCTGGAGGAGGAGGAGTTCCCAGCCTTGAGGCCTCTTATGTCTAAACCTGATGTTTAATGTGTCCCTTCACTGGTTCCTCCCCACCAGTGAAGGGAAGGATGGAGGTCAGAGAGAAGACCTGAAGGGGAGGACGGAGGTCAGATAGAAGACTGAAGGGAAGGACGGAGGTCAGATAGAATACTGAAGGGGATGACGGAGGTCAGATAGAATACTGAAGGAGAGGACGGAGGTCAGATAGAATACTGAAGGGGAGGACGGAGGTCAGATATAAGACTGAAGGGGAGGACGGAGGTCAGATAGAAGACTGAAGGGGAGGATGGAGGTCAGATATAAGACTGAAGGGGAGGATGGAGGTCAGATAGAAGGGAAGGACGGAGGTCAGATAGAAGACTGAAGGGAAGGCCGGAGTTCACTTTTAATCCAAGGTGTCCCAGTCCTCATGAGGGTTCCCCAAATTATAATGTAGTGCTGGAGTCCGATTCTCTGAGTTGGGTTCTTATGCTGAGTCCTGTTTTCTGTGTCCAGGTGGAACAGCTCTACAACATCAGCCGATACAGCAAGGAAGAATGCCAACGCATCCTGGATAAATGCAAGTGGAACTTGGAGGCCGCCTCCCGCTATGTCCTGCGGCGCACACAACCTCACTGATGGGACTTCTGCCGTTCCTTGATTGAAGGATTCTTCCTCTGAAGAGGGATTTTGAGGTCCTGTCTGCCAGGACGGCACCAGGGGGGTGGAGAGCCTGGATTGTCTGGACGATGGTTCTGTTTACTGGACTTTCCCCATTGGTGGAGGATTATGGACAAAGGGTACAAAGAGACTGTTTGTGGGAGGTCAAGTAGCAGGATTCCAGGGGTGCCGGTCACCTTTTCTCTTGGATTCTGGACTTTGATGTTTTCTGGCCGCTAGCTATGAATTTGGAAATCTTCATGACGCCAGCTGGACTGGTTTGTGGCCATTATGGATTTCCAGGGACTCTGCAGTTTGGGGGACTAAGGAAGCCAACTTGTAACTTGTTCATGGTCTGTTAGTATGAAGACTAATGGGCGAGATGTTTTTAATGGTTCCCAGTGACATCCTCCATTTTGCACAATGAATCGTACCCAACATGGACCTGACACCCTCTACCATGGACAATAGATGGTACCCAATGTGGACCTGACACCCTACACTATGGACAATGCATGGTACCCAACATGGACCTGACACCCTCTACCATGGACAATAGATGGTACCCAATGTGGACCTGACACCCTACACTATGGACAATGCATGGTACCCAACATGGACCTGACACCCTCTACCATGGACAATGGATGGTACCCAACGTGGACCTGACACCCTCTACCATGGACAATGGATGGTACCCAATGTGGATCTGACATCTACTGGGAACAATGGGTGGTACTCAACGTGGATCTGACATCATCTACTGGGGACAATGGCGTTGCATTTCTCTGCATTACCACTCCTTTAAGTCCGGGCTCATCGATAACTACGACAGTATTTTCCAGTGTTATCCATAAATCACTTTTGCCGCAAATGATCAACTGTCAATGCCGGGCTGGGGCTGGTGTAACAACATCTTGTGTTCAGGGACTTGGTTCCCGTTGGAAGAGACTGTTACGGAGTGAGCGTCTACGTGTGAGAGGAATAAATACTTCCGTAGAGAGATGGTCTGTACTAAGTGTTCCAATTTCTTCAGGGATTATATCATACACTATATGGCCAAACGTTTGAGAAGCCTTCACCATCGCACCTATATGAGCTTGTTGGACCTCATTTTCCAACACCATGAGGTCAGTTACTGATGTTGGACGAGAAGACCCGGCTCACAATCCTATTCACCCCATTGGTGGTCAGTAGGGTTGAGGTCGGGGCACTTGAGTTCCTCCACCTAGCTGGTCACCCCATGTCTGTATGGAGCTGGCTTTGTACACAGGGGACAGTCAAGGTGGGACAGAAAAGGGTCTTCACCAAGCTGTGACCACAAGGCTGGAGGAGCTCAATTGTCTCCAATGTCTTTGTATGATGGAGGGTCACCAGAACCTTCACAGGAGACACTGAACCCCATCATTTGGACGGGGACTCCTCAAACGCTTGGCATTATAGTCCATGTGATACCACATACTGTATTTTTCATGTGCAATAAGGGAATGACGTATTTGCAGACCAGTTTCGAAGACGGTAGAGAGCTTTGAGGTGACTGTTTAAAACTAATCTCGGGGAGAACTACAAATGCCAGCATGCACTTGTGTCTCCAGCATCTTCCTGGGATCGGTGATGGATAATGGCAGGCAGAGCGGAGCCAGCCTCCGGCACACTAAAAGCAGGAATGCGACTATTCCGGTCTTTCTATAGCCGAGCTCTCACGCATGACCTGTCTGTACATATCTGTATTTAACCCTGTATATACCGAGCTGTGAGCTGAACAAGCCTTAGTTTACATGTATGAAAAGATTCATTGTATTTATACTGTTACTGTGAGACAAAATAAACCTTTTATTATGCTACGCCCGCCTTTGCTTTATTGGGTGATGTGTGGATGATGAGAGTTGTCCTCCAGCCTACACTGTTCTCGGTTACATCGGGTAGAATGAGGAAGGAGTAGAGCCTCTGATTTGGTTTTTACTGTTGTCTGAGTCTTCAGTTCAGTGATCTTGCCCCCATGTGTCCTCTTCACCTGGTCATTTACCATCACAGGTCACATGACCAAGGCGCAGGGGAAGCATGGGTCAGTCACACACAGGCTACATACAGTACATGTAATATGATCATACAAAGCTGAAGGTGAACGTACAGAGAACGAGTGAGAAGAGCGTGTATAGTGTCTAGGGACTGAGCATGTGCGGGAAGGGAGGGGAATCTCTTTGGGAAGCCACACGAGGGCGCTCATTCACATGGGGGATCAGTAGGGTCAGCATCCATCTAGTGTGGGAAATGCTACCAGGAAATGGAAATAGAACCATTAGGTTTACTGAGATACTTCCATCTATCTGACAATATTGCCTTTTCGGGGGTCTCGCAGATCCTCCACGGGCCCCGGGTGCATACCTCCTGGGATCAGCTCCTCCACATCCAGATACAAACCGACTGCAAATCCACCATTTCTTCCCTTTTAATCCAACAGGAATGATTGCAAGCACAGCAAATTCACAAAGCCAGATTGTGACCCATCGCTGACCACCAGACCCTCTCCTGCCCCTTCCACGCGTTTCTCCCCCGTCAGGGCTTCGTTATGAACCTTCACCTGTGGAGAAATATGCCAAAGGCCATGCATGTCAATAGTCCCAGATTTGTGTGATAGTCCTGCATCTTGGCCCCCTGTCCTGATGACGATGTGTCCATGTCCCCGGATCATGGCATCGCTCTTATTGGAGTTACTGCACTGTGCAAGGGTCATTGTGGGGTTCGGGGATGTGAGTGGGCCACCCCTGCATATTTAGGGGTCTGGGCATTACCAACCCATAAAGTTGGTGTTTGGGCACGCTAGCCTTGAAAGTAGGTGAATAAAATGAGGACTGTGGGCGGGGTTAACAGTGTCCTGGGACCATAATGTGGTATGTGAAGGAGTAGTGGAGGGTCTGTAGGAGAGGGTCTGGTGGTGAGGGTCTGTAGGAGAGGGACTGGTGGTGAGGGTCTGCAGGAGAGGGTCTGTAGGAGAGGGTCTGGTGGTGAGGGACTGGTGGTGAGGGTCTGTAGGAGAGGGACTGGTGGTGAGGGATGGACCGCAGTCCGGCTTTGTGAGTTTGCTCTTGGTAAGTATGAGGGAGTAGTAGAGGGCTGTAGGAGACGGACTGTAGGAGACGGACTGTAGGAGACGGACTGTAGACTGTAGGAGAGGGTCTGTAGTAGAGGGTCTGTAGAAGAGGGTCTGTAGGAGAGGGACTGTAGTAGAGGGTCTGTAGAAGGGTCTGTAGGAGAGGGACTGTAGTAGAGGGTCTGTAGAAGGGTCTGTAGGAGAGGGACTGTAGTAGAGGGACTGTAGGAGAGGGACTGTAGGAGAGGGTCTGTAGTAGAGGGTCTGTAGAAGGGTCTGTAGGAGAGGGACTGTAGTAGAGTGTCTGTAGGAGAGGGACTGTAGGAAAGGGTCTGTAGGAGAGGGACTGTAGGAGAGGGTCTGTAGGAGAGGGACTGTAGGAAAGGGTCTGTAGGAGAGGGACTGTAGTAGAGTGTCTGTAGGAGAGGGACTGTAGGAAAGGGTCTGTAGGAGAGGGTCTGTAGGAGAGGGTCTGTAGGAGAGGGACTGTAGGAAAGGGTCTGTAGGAGAGGGACTGTAGTAGAGTGTCTGTAGGAGAGGGACTGTAGGAAAGGGTCTGTAGGAGAGGGACTGTAGGAGAGGGTCTGTAGGAGAGGGACTGTAGGAGAGGGTCTGTAGGAGAGGGACTGTAGGAGAGGGTCTGTAGGAGAGGGACTGTAGTAGAGGGTCTGTAGGAGAGGGACTGTAGTAGAGGGTCTGTAGAAGGGTCTGTAGGAGAGGGACTGTAGTAGAGGGTCTGTAGGAGAGGGACTGTAGGAGAGGGTCTGTAGGAGAGGGACTGTAGTAGAGGGTCTGTAGAAGGGTCTGTAGGAGAGGGACTGTAGTAGAGGGTCTGTAGAAGGGTCTGTAGGAGAGGGACTGTAGTAGAGGGACTGTAGGAGAGGGTCTGTAGGAGAGGGACTGTAGGAGAGGGTCTGTAGGAGAGGGACTGTAGTAGAGGGTCTGTTGAAGGGTCTGTAGGAGAGGGTCTGTAGGAGAGGGACTGTAGTAGAGGGTCTTTAGAAGGGTCTGTAGGAGAGGGACTGTAGTAGAGGCTCTGTAGAAGGGTCTGTAGGAGAGAGACTGTAGTAGAGGGACTGTAGGAGAGGGTCTGTAGGAGAGGGACTGTAGGAGAGGGACTGTAGGAGAGGGTGTGTAGGAGAAGGACTGTAGTAGAGGGTCTGTAGTAGAGGGTCTGGTGGTGAACGATGGGCCACAGTCCGGCTTTGATCTTCTTGCAATCATTCTTGTTGGATATCTGGAAGGAGGAGTGGAAGTGCGGCCGGTTGTTGTTGTGTACAGCGATGGCGGGTGAGTCACTCTCGGCATGTTCATGTTGCGTAATTTCTGATACACGGAGGAAACCGTCGTGATTGAGCGATGAGTTCTGCAGATGTTTATAGAAGAGAACAATCCGAGGAGACGTAGATCACATGTGACATTTGTATGAGAAAGTCCTCGTGGTTGTGACCCGTCCGCCGGATGTTGTGGGCAGGTAGTGTTTTGGGATTGTCAGGGATGAAGCCGTGTTTGGCTCCATAGGGAGCCGAATGAATTCCGATAAACATTGAGGAACCCGGCCTTGGGGCAGCAGAGAGAGTAAATCCGGCCCTGGGTGTAATGTGGATGGGCAGCAGTCAGAACCAGAACTGGTTTATTGCACATAGCGATACAGGAAGGAGGGGGAGGGGTGAATTGGGATATCCCCAAAAACACGGATAGTCTTTAACACCAGCCTAGGATATAATCTCTTCTGAATCCCTCATAAAGTCTTTCTGTACTTCCTGAACACGGACTATGCTGGCGGGGCTCTGGTAGAGCTGGGGCAATGGAGGTTCTAGCGGTATCTCAATCTTTATGTTCCAAGGGAGGACAACCTGGAAAGGTTCCTGTGTAGACTTCCCACTCAGCCGGTCCCTCTCCACGTCTCCATGGTGGGGGACCGTCACAGCTTG